CAATCAAACCCGTTGAAAAAAAAAAAAAAAAAAAAAAACCCTATAATTTTAAAACCACAAGGTCCAAGGACTAGAACAGCAAAAATCAACAAACCATAAAAACCAAATTTGCACTTTACTCTATTAATAATCAATCTTAAAATGTGTATTTTCACCATTGAAGTTAATTATTTTCAGGACTAATAATATTATCAACTTATGAAATGATTTTTAAGTTTTTTTATAACCCTCTTTGTTTTACAATGCTACATTTTACATCTTTATTTTATTTTAACTTTTAAACCTTTTTTGGTTTTTTATTAATTTTTTTTATAATTTTAATCTCAAATATTAAATATTAAATTTGTAATGATCATGTGATATATTTATTATTTTTTAATAAATATACACAATTATTTTATTAACAAATTAATTTAAAAAAAAAACATAATATATTTATCTTTTCTAATTTTGTTTGTTTATGTATTTTGTGTTTATCAAACATTTTTGGTGTTATTATATGTAAAAACAAAAAAATAAATAAATAAATAAATAAATAAAAACTAAACTAAACTAAACTCATTCTCTCCATATATCATTATAACGTTTGTTCTCAACTATGTCCGAAGACACAATCACCATCGAACAACTTTTGATACAAGTAAATACGTTAGTCGTTAGTGAGTTAGCAAATATTACCCATGAAAAATTATTAATGCATGTAGAGAAAGAAGTGTCGGATGAACCATAAAGTTCTAGTCAACGAGGAAGGAAAAAAACATAACGTGTCTTGAAGAGTGTTATGTTCATTTTTATGCATCATTTTAACATATTTTTTTAGTCATTTTTCATGATATTTTATGTGTATTTAGCGATCATTTTGTACATTTTATTATATTGATGGTTGGGACATTACTCGTTTAAGTTTAATTTTTGTAAATTTATGTAAGCAAGTAATGATATTTTTGAACATCAATAGAAGTCACATGAAGGCTTTGCAACCGCGACTGAAGTCATGTAACAACATCCACTATAAAACAATAAAAAGTACCAATTTAAAGATTTTTTTGGAAATTTGGCAGCAATGCACGGTCTTCATAAAGTGATTGGATCGAGTGGTAAAAATGGTCCGATCGAGTTGAAATTTTACATGTGTCTTCCTAACTGATGGATCTTTAATATGAATGGTGGTGATAGGGTTTAGACTTTAGACAATGTTTGATGCACAATTTAGGCCTCGTGAACAGTAGCAACAGATCTGTCCAAAAGTATTTTTAGTAGCCCCTTTATATATGATTTTTGGCAAGCAAGATCACATATTTTCACCCATTCTTAAATTGAAAATATGCCTAGAAAGCTAGAAACATGATGACCAAGTGATAAACAAATAGAAATAGAGAATTGGAGAAAAAAAAAGAGGTCTTGGGTCGGTTATATATCACACACATATGTATCGTGTTTTTAAAAAAAAATTATCATCACATCAACAGAAAAGAAAAGGAGAACGACTTGAGGAGTTTTATTAAAGGTTCTTGTCATCAAAACAATATTCAATTTTCCATTTGTAAGCTTTAGTTTTGTTGTTAACTGTTTTGTAGTTTTTGGTGGTTTAGCCATCGTAAACGGCTAAATACGGGTTTCGACAGTTTATAATTATGTAAATAACTTTGGATTTGCTAGTGAAGTTGTTGATTATGTTTCGTTTTGCTTTTTATCTAATAATATTTTCGCTAGAAAAACAAATTGTTGTCTTAATTCTTTTTGAACTTTGTCACCTCAATTAGGGTTTAGATAATTAAAATTGGTATGTTCATTGTTTGCTTACGTAATGGACCATTTAGTTAACTAAAGTAGCAAATAATGTTGTTGACTTTGTAAAATGTTGATTGACATTATGAAGTCAATTGGTATAATTGTTGGTTTTCCGAGCTTATGATAAAATCACTTGTGGTTGGTATATTTGTTTGAACATTAATGTAATTCTCACTTAACTATTAAGAGCTTGTTCGGTAATTATGTAGTGAAGTTGTTCCAATTGAAGAACTTGTTTTAATTAGATGATTTTGTAACTTGGCTGAAGAGTTTGTAATCATGTGCTAGACTGTTAGATTGAGTGTCCGAGGTCATTAATTATTTGGTAATATTTCTAATAATAGTAGGGTCCTTTTGGGTTACCCTCATGACCCAATTAAGCAATAAGGAATTATCAGCGAAGCATATAAAGTTCTGGTTGAATGCTTTAAATAAGTTATCTCCAATGGTTTTGACATCATCAGATTGGGAGAGATTGTAAGGTTGAACCTTATAATCTGGTGAGTGTCAAATTGTGACATCCCGAATTTCACGGCCAGAAAAAACCGATTTGTTTATGCTTTATTTGAAAATCAGAGTATCTTTTTTGAAGAAATACATTGTGGAATTTGTTCCCAAAAATATGATAAAGATATTATCAAAGCATTTCCGAAGAAATGTATTTTAATTATATTAAAAACGTTGGGATGTCATTGTCAATACAGTACATAAGCATAAACAGAAATAGTACATGTGTAGCACCTGCTTCCTGATATGTATTTACTTAAGTATTTTTGCATTTTTGACCTTGGACTCGGCGAGTTGAAGGACCAACTCGCCGAGTAGAAGCGGGATGAGACGCGGGATTTAAGTGATGGACTCGTTGAGTCGGATCTCGGACTCGACGAGTAGGCTCTGTGTGGACAAAACCCTAATATGAGGGTTTGCACCCTATTTAAACAACCTTATACAACCTCCATCGCCCCTTTATGCTCCCAGAAACCCTCCATAGCAAACCCTAGCCGAGTGTGTGAAGATCTTAAGGCATTTGTGGTGATTTTGGTGGTTTTGTTCACAAGGAAGAAAGAAGAGCATAGAAGGATCAAGAGGAAACTGAAGGATTCGAGTTTGGTTCACCATTGGCAGTCTTTGAGAGGTATAAAGTCTGTACCTTGCTCTTTCATTTGATAGATCCCTTTTTGGGGAGATTT